AAAGCTATCTTGAAATGTTATAGGCCACCTCTTTCTTGTTTTGCTCCTAGACCACATACATGACAACCGCTTTTGGGAAATGTTTGCAAAGCCAGTACGAAGAACATCAGTTCTCTGTAAAAAAAACAACAACACACACACACAACTCAGCAAATTAGGGAAACAGACCTAGTGGCCTGAATTCCTTAAGCATCTGGCAAGAATTCAAGAAAGAGCAAAACAATTCATTGTTTCATTGATCATTACTGTGCAGCCATTAGCTCCCTGAGGGTTCTCTTGCAAATAAAGCTAGACAGAAAAGTATGCTATAATTAGATGGATCAAGTGTTATTAGGAGAGCTTACTGAACCAAAACGAAGAAATAAAGCAAACGGGAGACCCAATTAAATCTGACAAAAACTATTCAGTACATTATTCAAACGTTGCAAGGCTAATCTGAGTCCCATTCCTGCTTCTGAGATATCAAAGAAGCCAACAGGAATACAGTCCCCCTCTGCCTTGAATTTGTAAATAAAAACCGTGAGTGGCTAGCAAAGTATCAACAGAACAGCAGGAATGTGCAGGGAAACATGGACATAATAAGCCTGGGATTTCGGCTAAGTAGGCTAGTGAGCATCACCTCTCATAGGCACTCCCCTGTTTTTATCTGACACTGCCTGCCATTTGCCCCTTCCCAACAATTTATGACAAAGCAAGTTGCGTAGGGGGAAAACAATGGTTTCATTCCAAAATATTAGCATTTCTTATTGATGCAGAACTGGCCCAAGGCCAAAGCTAATGATCAGACAGATCCTTAAACCTCTTGGTTGCTTGGCAACTTGTTGATTCAGCTGACTCTGTCAGGTGTACAGGTGTACAGGAAAGACAGGTATGAGAAGGGGAACGGGATTGGTTTGTTGCCTGATGATGTCACGAAGATGCTGAATATGGAATAGCCTTACAAGCCTTTCTTTGGTACTCTCCTCACTGTGTGCATTGAGAAAAGACACAAAACTAGAAGCAGAAACCCAAGACAACTCCTAGGGAATGAATGTCAACTCAGTCAGGTAAATGTAATAAAAGGTTGTGCTGGTTGTAAAAAACAACAACCCAAAAGCCTTTCTACTGGGAATTATAGGGATAGGTAAAGGTAAAGGGACCCCTGACCATTAGGTCCAGTCGTGCCCGACTCTGGGGTTGCGTGCTCATATCACTCTATAGGCCGAGGGAGCCGGCGTACAGCTTCTGGGTCATGTGGCCAGCATGACTGAGCCGCTTCTGGCGAACCAGAGCAGCACAAGGAAACGCCATTTACCTTCCCGCCAGAGTGGTACCTATTTATCTACTTGCACTTTAACATGCTTTCGAACTACTAGGTTGGCAGGAGCAGGGACCGAGCAACAGGAGCTCACCCCGTAGCGGGGATTCGAACCGCTGACCTTCTGATCGGCAAGTCCTAGACTCTGTGGTTTAACCCACAGCGCCACCCGCGTCCCTTAGGCATAGAACTACCTAAATTGTATAGAAATTTACTCATGTACGCGACTACAGCAGCAAGAATTGACTTGCCCAAAAATGGAAAGAAGAAGAAGTCCCAGCAAAGGAAGAATGGATACAAAAATTTATGGAATACACAGAAATGGAGAAACTGACCGGAAGAATAAGAAATCAAGATAACAAACATTTTACAAAATAATGGAAATGGTTTATTGAATATTTACAGATAAATTGTAAACAGATAAAAACACTGGCAGGATTATTGTAATAACCTGCAGCTATATAAGAGTATATTTAGAAAGAAGATGAATAAATGAGCAAATTAATTTGGATATGCAGAAGATATTAAAAATAAATTTAAGGAACTGCAGAAAGAGAGGGAAGTCAAGTTTTAAAATGCCAAAATGAATGTCAAATCATTGAAATGTATATATCTAAAAAGTGTGTGTGTGTGTGTGTGTGTGTGTGTGTGTGTGTGTGTGTGTGTGTATTTTAATAACTTTGCTGGATCACACCAAAGACCTATCTAGGCCAGCATTTTGGCTCCCAACCAGATGACTGTGGAAAGAGCATGAATATGAATCATTATCATGTGCTTTTAGCGATCCCATGAAGAGAGCCCACATCAAATAAAGATCTGGCTATTTCTCAGCACAACTTTTTTTAAAAAAAACTGCTTGCGCTTCAATGGAAAATGTGTTAAAACGGGCACATTTTAAGCACTGAATCAAAGAGGACTCATGAGTGAGTTTACACGTTTAATGGTTTTATTTTTAGCTCTCTCCCACCGGTTTTTTAAATCGTTCCCTTTCATTCTGTTTTGACCTCCTTTCAACTCACATCTGCCAGAAGCAGTTGAGTGTCGGGAGGCGAATCCAGCGAGAGCCAACTCCCAACACCGTAATTTGAATGCCCTTTCCTTTAGCTGCATCACATATGTACTTATGTGGCTTTAGGACCTCTTCCCAAAAAGTTTCCGCGTAAGCTCAAACTGTCCCAGGGAAGGATCGTCTCAACAGTGCTTAGCGACATGCCCCACAGTTGATAATGCAAGTCACACAACCATCATATACCACTGGCTTGTCTAATTTTGGAGCTGGGCTTTGGATGGCCCAAAATTACAGCCTTTAACCGGCCATTTTACTATGTGCACATTCCTTGCTTCGCTTGAGATGAAGTCTGGTCTGGTCACGTTTTTCAACATGGGCACCATCAAATTATGTTGAAATTTAGCATTTCGGTGCAGGCTATGGCAGCCCAGCTTAAAGGATACCATTCAAATGTATGCACTGATTGAAATGTCCTAACCTGGGGTGTCCCTGTGAAATCGTATTTGCCAATACACTTAAAGCAGGGCTCAAAATAAACACCCGTAAGTTCGCCCAGGTTCAGCCTGTTAAAATTCAAGTTAAGATTCCCCTGTTACTCTCAAACCAAGGCCCCCTTTAAAGGTACTATACATTTAAAGCAGTGTCATAGCACTTTAAACAATCACGGCTTCCCCCAAATAACCCTGGAAACTGTAGTTTGTTAAAGGCATTGAGAGTAGTTAAAGGTAAAGGGACCCCTGACCATTAGGTCCAGTCGTGGCCGACTCTGGGGTTGCGGAGCTCATCTCGCTTTATTGGCCGAGGGAGCTGGCGTTTGTCTGCAGACAGCTTCCATGTCATGCAGCCAGCATGATTAAGCCGCTTCTGGCGAACCAGAGCAGCGCACGGAAACACTGTTTACCTTCCCGCTGGAGCGGTACCTATTTATCTACTTGCACTTTGACATGCTTTTGAACTGCTAGGTTGGCAGGAGCAGGGACCGAGCAACGGGAGCTCACTCCGTCGCGGGGATTCGAACCGTCGACCTTCTGATCGGCAAGTCCTAGGCTCTGTGTTTTAACCCATAGCGCCACCCACGTCCCTAGCGCCAGGAGACTGCATTTTTGACCGTAAGAGCTGTTCGACGGTGGAAGAGACTTGCTCAGAAGGTGGTGGACTCTTCTTCCTTGGAGGTTTTTAAGCAGAGGTTGGACGGCCATCTGTCATGGATGCTGTAGCAGAGATTCTTGCATTGCAGGTAAATTGTACTAGATGACTCTAGGGGTCCCTTTCAACTCTACAATTCTGTGATAATTCTTCACACAGAGTTACCGTTTTCCAGAGTTCCCTGAGAAGAGGGACTTGACTGGTAAACTGAGAAATGTAGGGGGGGGGGAAATCTCTTCCAGTTCTTTAGAGATAATGTAAAACGCAAACCATCAAAACTGACATTTAGAGACCTCCACGTTCTCCACAGGTTTAAAACATCCGAGTCAAAAAAGCACCTCTAAAAATGGCCGTGAACCACAAATCCTGTTGACCACTTCCTGCAGAGCCTTACGGAACCTCTCCCTGTTATTTTACTAATTCACCCGCAAAACATCTATCTATCCATCCCTCCATCTCCTGACATTCCTCACACTTAGCCTTTGTTTCATTCATTCTCTTGACAGAGCAATCTAATACACCTCCGCAGTCCTTGTGCTTTTGTTAATTCTACAGAGCCTGGCTTTCCACATTTTCAACTCCTGTATTTTCAGCTCCTGCTCCTGTATTTCCCCTTCCTAAATCGTTGTGGCCGAGTTCTAATAGTTCAATGTCAGAACTTCCCCATGGCAATTTTTATTAACCACAGTTGACTCAATATGGAGTTAGGCCATTACGTCCAAATGTTTCTGGCTGTTTCCTAGCTCTCATCCATGATATCTCAAGATTTCCACTGCCTCGTTTAATCTGAATTAATCTTCATTTAATGGGTGCTCCGTTTAATCTCAAGCTCTCCTGGCCTGAGGAAGTGGCTTGAGGGTAGGATATCCTCAAGTCCCTTTTTATTTTTAAAATAATTTTGAATACTCATTTAAACAACTGTAAAATATCAAAAACTTCCCTTCTTCTCTTTCCATGGTTCGTTTTGCATAACATAAATCCCTGCATATTTTATATAAGCTAAACCATTCAGTATTCCATTGTTGCATCCATCAAAACTAATTGACACTGTTGAATTTATCTTAATGCTGCCAACGTTTTCACTCAAGTCCCTAAGTACTCAAGGATACAGTCGTACCGAACACCCTGGAACTCAGACGTTTTGGCTTCTGAATGCAGCAAACCTGGAAGTGATTGTTCCGGTTTGCAAATGTTCTTTTGGAACCCAAATGTCTGACAGGGCTTCTGGGGCTTCTGATTGGCTGCAGGACCTTCCTGCGGCCAATCAGAAGCCACGATTTGGTTTTCGAACATTTTGGAAGTCGAAGGGACGTCTGGAATGGATTCCGTTCAATTTACAAGGTACAACTGTATTTATAGATCACACTGAACCCCCCACTTCTTGCACACACAACTTTAGGGGGCAGCAGGTCTAACTTTCTGCAGCGGTAGTTCCAGCATCTCTCGCTTTAGGGGAACTTTCAAATCCAAAGAAAATATATCCAACCATGCAAAACAGCAATTTCCTGCTCAAAATATTTCCCTCAGCCCCCTCCAAAATGAACTTACATAAATTTTGTTTTGTTGATATCGCTGGAATAGATTGTACATGATGGCCCCTTCATGGAGGTCTATCAGTGCGGCCATGTCTTCCAGACCTTCTGAGTTTGTAGGCTGCATAGCTGTGACTTTTTGGCGTGTGATTGACCTCTGTTTATATGTGTATACCTGAAAAAGGGAAAAAGCGGTTCTTGAAAAACAGATTCTACTTTTACGTTCTCCATTTCTGTCCACACACACACACACACACACACAAGAAAGCATCTTTTTTCAAAATGCAACAAGAAATCACAAACACTCTCGCAACCACACGCCGGGCAGATGAACGTTAACATATAATAATCCATACCTACTATTAACTGAATAACTTTGCAGAAGAGAAGCATGTTGCCTACACCAGGCAAAACCACCTATGTACATAACGCATTTCTGAATCTTGGGAGAGCTGTTTAGAATAACGCAAACCAGAAGCACATTGGTTGGTAGAAAATGTTCTAACAGATCTAACATTATGCCTAGGGGTGCTGCTTCAATTAAACACCAGTTATCCCAGGTTAGCCTCAGGTAGGTCAACAGGAATTTCACCCCTGGTATTTATTATTATTATAGTGGTACCTCAGGTTAAGAACTTAATTCGTTCTGGAGGTCCGTTCTTAACCTGAAACTGGTCTTAACCTGAGGTACCACTTTAGCTAATGGAGCCTTCTGCTGTCGCTGCACTGTCACTGCAAGATTTCTGTTCTCATCCTGAAGCAAAGTTCTTAACCCGAGGTACTATTTCTGGGTTAGCAGAGTCTGTAACCTGAAGCGCCTGTAACCCGAGGTACCACTGTATTATTATTATTTACACACATATATATACACTATATATACTATAAGTACATATATTATAACATACCCCTGGAATTTCACCCTGAGTGACATCAGGAATAGCTCTTGGGCAAAGGGGCTTTGCAATGGCTTTTTGCCTCGAGTGGCAAAATGCAGACCCTCCGAGTGTCCCTTATTTTCCAGGGACAGTCCCAGATTTACAGAATCCGTCCCGGTTTCTGGTTTGATCCCAGAATGTTCTGCTTTCCCTTAGGACACCCCTATTTTCATCGGAGAAATGTTGGAGGGTATGGAGTTATGCAAACCCCAAGCCAAGGAGATAAGTAACTGTACAACCTTTAGAAGACATTTGTAGGCAGCTCTGTATAGAGAAGTTGTTTAATGTTTTGCTATGTCTTTATATTGGGCAACCCAGTCAATTGGGCAAGGTATAAATAATAATTATTATTAGTATTAGCATTATTGAATAAAGGTAAAGGGACCCCTGACCATTAGGTCCAGTCGTGACCGACTCTGGGGTTGAGGCACTCATCTTGCTTTATTTGCCAAGGGAGCCGGCGTACAGCTTCCGGGTCATGTGGCCAGCATGACTAAGCCGCTTCTGGCGAACCAGAGCAGCGTACCGAAACATTGTTTACCTTCGCACCAGAGTGGTACCTATTTATCTACTTGCACTTGCTTCCGAACTGCTAGGTTGGCAGGAGCAGGGACTGAGCAATGGGAGCTCACCCCGTTGCGGGGATTCGAACCGCCAACCTTCTGATTGGCAAGTCCTAGGCTCTGTGGTTTAACCCACAGCACCACCCGCGTCCCTTAGTATTATTGAATGGGACGTCTCTATTTTCATCAGAGAAATGTTGGACGGTACGAAAATTTCCCAGGCGATCTTTGCCTCTCACTAAAAGTAACTGTCTAATTCTTAAAAGCAAACATTGGACTTTTAGGAAAATATTACCTATATGACCAGAGGAATGCAAAGACTAACATGTTGGACCAGAATATAATAAATAATCCCTTCTTCTCCAGTTCTTATGCCACAGAACTGTTCACAAGTAGGACTTAAATACTGATCGCCTATTGTTACTCAGCTCCATCTGCTAGTTAAGTGTGTTCACCATCTGAATATAGAAGCTTCATTGCTGGCTATCACGGCCCATGCTTCTAGAGGGTCTGCTCTCTATGTATAAAATAAATAAATACACAGAAGAGCCATTTATGCCTGCAGTCAGCCTAACATCTTGAGATGCTGCGTTCCCTCGGCTAATGATATGTTAGGTAAAGAAGTGTTTCTTTGGCTTAAATGTCTGCTGCTTTTACACAATTATTCTGCCCACATTATTATTTGGCAGACTCTGGTGACATTCAAACAACATAAAAGAGAACATATACACTTCATGGAGCCGTTGCAAATAATTTCCAGTGACCTTAAAGTCATTTCCTTAATTAGCTTTTAAAATGCCTATTCCTGTGTATATTTTTAAAATGCATGTATTTATATATGAGTTGCTGTTTTTCAGTACAGAGCCAGCACAACTTGGCATGCTTTTCCGCTGGAAACAAAATTCCCCTTAACGTTTTAGAAATCCAAACACTGTGGTAACTAAGGAGGTTTTAATAACATGAAACTTTTTTCCTTTTTTTTAAAGAACTATATAAACCTTTCCAACATATTTATAAAGCTTTCCTCTGATTTAAGGATTGTGATAACTGGCAAATCAGACTATTTGTGAACATTTAAGAACTGCCAACACAGGTTACTGAGCCCACATTCTTCCAAAATAATAGCTCAGTTAGTAGAGCATAAGTCTTAATCTCAGTCGTGAGTTTGAGCCCCACATTGGGCAAAAGATTGCTGCATTGCAGCCAGTTGGACTCTCGTGGTCCCTTCCAACTCTACAATCTATAATTCTATGATTAAGATAAAAAATTAAAAAAACAAGACTATGATTAGAGGGAGGGTGTGGTGGGGAGACATAGGCTTACATCTTATCCCCCAAATTGATCTGGTATGTTGTTTAATGGTGAAACGATTCAGAAACTGTTTTATCACATTTGAATTCAGGAATGCTAGGATGGTTTGTCGAAAGCCATGCGGTCTTTGCATGGAGCAACCAGCTCAGACGCCTTTACATGTGTCAATAGTTCATTGTACAGTCATACCTCGGTCTAAGAACAGTCCTGTTAACAAATGATTCAGGCAACGCATTCCACAAAACCGTAAGTAGGTGTTCCGGCTAGCGAACTTTGCACCGGAAGACAAACAGAAGCCGACTGGTGGAAGGGCACCGGCAGCAGGAAGCCTCATTGGGGAAAGTGTGTCTCAGTTTGAGAACGTTTTCGGTGTAAAAACGGGCTTCCGGAACGAATTAAGTTTGTAAACAGAGGTCCCACTGTATATCATTTCCCAGAAAGCCTTTACCACTGTACATGTCCACCACATATGGTAAAATGTACCCTCCTTTTCTTTACATTTCCAACACAATTTTGAACTTGTTTTGTACATTTTAACAATTTTACCTGGTGCTAGGTACCGACGATACTAAAGAAAATGTTTAAAAACACATTTGTAAAAAAACCAGAAGCCTTTTTATTAGGTAGAATAGGTGAAGCGTTACCAAGAGGGGATAAAAGACTTTTTATGTATGCAACGACAGCAGCGAGAATGCTACTAGCCCAGAGATGGAAGGAAGGAAGAAGTACCAGCAAAGGAAGAATGGCAGATGAAACTGAGTATGCGGAGTTGGCGAAACTGACGGGGAAGATCTGAAACCAGGAAGATCACTTATTTACTAAGGTAAAGGTAAAGGGACCCCTGACCGTTAGGTCTAGTCGCGGACGACTCTGGGGTTGCGGCGCTCATCTCGCTTTATAGGTTGAGGGAGCCGGCGTGCAGCTTCTGGGTTATGTGGCCAGCATGACTAAGCCGCTTCTGGCGAACCAGAGTAGCACACGGAAACACAGTTTACCTTCCCACCGGAGCAGTACCTATTTATCTACTTGCACTTGACATGCTTTCAAACTGCTAGGTTGGCAGGAGTATTGACTAAAAATTGGAGTAAATTTGTAATTTATTTAAAAGACCACTGTAAACAGTTAAAATCTTTGGCAGGGATGTATTGACACTTGCAATGTGGAATTATTTATGGTAATTGGGTGGCACTGTGGGTTAAACCACAGAGCCTACGGCTTGCCGATCAGAAGGTCGGCGGTTTGAATCCCCGTGACGGGGTGAGTTCCCGTAGCTTGGTCCCTACTCCTGCCAACCTAGCAGTTCGAAAGGATGTCAAAGTGCAAGTAGATAAATAGGTACTGCTCTGGCAGGAAGGTAAACAGTGTTTCCATGCGCTGCTCTGGTTCGCCAGAAGCGGCTTAGTCATGCTGGCCACATGACCCGGAAGCTGTACACCGGCTCCCTCGGCCAGTAAAGCGAGATGAGCGCCGCAACCCCAGTGTCGTCCGCAACTGGACCTAATGGTCAGGGGTCCCTTTACCTTTACCTAATAGATGGATAAGGGTAAAAGATGCAGCAAATTTAAACTTAAACATAGAACCCATGGAGGGAGTGAAGGAGGTCTAAACGTTCAAAGGAACCTTGTATTTTAATGTTTGAAGTGGTTTTATATGTATAAAATTATCAAAAATCCAATAAAAAAATACATGTGTCAATAGAGCAGGATTGGGGAAGCAATGTTGGACTCTCATCTCCCAGCCAGCATAGACAATAAGTCAGGACGATGAGAGCCGTCCAACAATATTGGGAGGTCCAAGCATTCCCTATTCGTGTAGCTGTCGATTGTACTGACGTTGCAACTTGCAACTGACCATTGCAAAGGGAGGAATGCAGATCCATGGACCTGTTTTTCCAGGGGTCAGCATATCTGGCTGCAGTTTATATAGCTTAAGTCTTGCTGGCTCTTAGCGGGGCTGCTGGAAGCAGAGCTGAAGGAAGACTGTGTCCCGGGGGAAGAGAATAAGCAGCTTTCACAGTCTTCCTCCAAAGGCTGCTGACATTCCTTCTGCCTGAGCTGAAATCTTGCCTGCCTTTAGAGATCTGGGGTGGGCCCCCTTTCCCCCCACTGTGTTCACTTCCTCAGAAAGACAGCTGGTATTCAAAGCATCCACCCCCTGCTTTTTCTGATGCCAGACCACCTACAGTTCTCCTTGGGCAACGTTCTCAGATTAGGGATGCCCCAGAAGGAGAGGAAATGGGTATCTGGAAGCAGTTGCGTTCCTCAGTTAGCTATGAGCACAGTAAGAAAACAACAGGGGCATATTTACTAATGGGTGCATCAATAATTTCCCTGCATCCACTCGTTAAAAGCTGCAGCGGCAGCTGC